TATAAAGGTTCATTTATATGCATCATGCATCAAGTATTTTAAAGTTCATTTGTATGCAACATGCATGCTGATCAATCACTTTTTTTTCCGATTGGTCTCTCTAGATGTGCTAAAAAATCCACCATACTTTCAAGACATAATCATTGAGTTTGTAAAGTCTAAGCCAATCACAGCTATATTCTCCTTAATCAATTCCTCTGAGATTTATCCAGTTAAAAAGTCATTAGCTGTTTTTTTGTTTTGATTGCTTAGACATTTTGAAAATTTTATGGATTGAACACTACTATCTGGTTCAGAAGTAACACATTTGTTTAACTGTATTTCTATTTTTTGATGAAACATTTTAGTGATTGCATTTTCAATCAAAATCAAAGTAGGATCTTTTCTTCCATCTACAAATTTATTCATATTGTGTATTTCAATATATTATTTTTTAAAAGAAAACTTTAGTTTTAATCAGAAACTCTTTTCTGATGCTTTAAACTTTTTAAAATTGTTAAATATTTTTAGATTCAAATAGTTAAGGTAGATCTAATCTTAAAAGAAAGCAAATTAGAGCAGAATTAGATATGTCAAGTTAATAATCTTGTGAATCAATCTGAAAGATTATTCCTAAATACATATAGCGGTGGCCAAAAATTAAAGACCACTCATTTTTTAGTTGGTTTCTTAATCTTTAAATCAAAATTATGAAGAGTCTAATTGACATATTAATTTTTTTTTTTTAAATATATTGATTATTAAAACATACAAATTAAAATGGTATAATTTTTTAAATCTAATTCTAATTAAATAGCGTTTAACTTATTAAAAAAACTGATGAGTATTTATAAATCTTCTTTAAATAAATTGGACAAAATTTAACGACCACTTTCAAATCTTTAATTTGCACTTATTAAAAATAATAATCGTTTATTTTTTTAACTGCCTTAATTGCTTATTACGTTGGCTATATAATAAAATATCAAAACCTGAGTTTCGATATCAAATAAACATTTATTTTTTGAATTGCAATAAGGATATAAAAATGTAGCAAAAATGCCTGCAAAGATCGAAGAAAAAGACAGATACGTGGCTCTTGTATTAAAAGAAGATGGCTATAGCATCAGACAAATAGCAGAAAAGCTCGGAAGGTCTCACTCTTGCATTATTAACATAATTCAACGAAACAAAGAGACCGGGTCAATTAATGATCGTCATAGGACTGGACGCAACAAAATTTCAAATGACCGTAATGTTCGCTCGTTAGTGAGATTAATGAAAGAAAACAGACAAGCATCATCTACAGACTTGTCTACGAAATGGACACTGTCAAATGGTCTGATAGCGAGCCCTAGAACTGTGCGAAGAGTCCTTCACAATTAAAAATATTTTTGGCGTGCTGCTGCAAAAAAACCACGCTTAAATAAAAAACAAAAATTTGCCAGGAAAGAGTGGTGCAAACTACATAAAAATTGGTCAACAGATCAGTGGAGCCTTGTGGTTTTTAGTAATGAAATGAACGTTGAGGTAGACAACAGAAAAGGTTGCGTAATGTTGCGCAGACTTCCAAGCGAACGGTTCGATGAATCATGCTTTTTGAAACGAACAAATCAAGGCAGTGGTTCAATATGCATTTAGGCTTGTATGAGTGCCTGTGGAGTTAGCGTTTTTCGTTTATTCGATGGTAGACTCAACAAAGAAAGGTACATCGAAATTTTGGAAAACTCACTTATTCCTAGCATTGATTTATGGCAGTTGCAAGATGGATTTATTTTCCAGCAAGATAATGCACCGTGTCATAAAGCGCATGTTGTTAGCGATTAGTTCAATTCTAATAAAATTCAATTGCTTCCATGGCCTGCCAATAGTCCAGACTTAAATCCAATAGAGAATTTTTGGTCGTGGCTTGATAACAAGCTTGGTAAAGAACAACTTTACAATTCGGAAGATTTGAAATCTTCTATCTCTCATCATTTGAATAATGTGTCAGATGAAGTAATTAAAACTTTAATGAAATTAATGCCAGAACGAGTACAAGAATGCTTGAAAACAAATAGAGGAACAACACGTTTCTAAATTATTTTTTTATTGCTTTTTGAAATATTTTTGAAACTGATCTTTAATTTTGTCCAATTCTTTTTCCATTTATATTTTTTACTAGTCAGTTTTTTAACTTTTTAACATTATTTTGTAAAAAAATTATAAATTCTTTTAGAATAAATATAAAATACAATAAAAATTTTTTCTAAAAATGTTTTCTTTTTTTGATATCTTTTCCAAAATAAAATTTTACTAAGGTTAAAAATAAATTTTTTAAAAAAGAGTGGTCTTTAATTTTTGGCCACCGCTGTAGACCTTGTCTTAGAACACCAGTTGATGTTCAATCTTTTGCTACTCCAAGTTATTTTGTCAAATTAGTTGCAGAGAAACATCAAGTTTGTTTTTATTTTGAAATCTATATAATGCATTATTTTTTGTTTATTATTTGCTGTAAAACAAAAACATTTATTTCATGAAATCATAAAAAAAATTTCATAAAAATCACAACTTTTTAGTTGTCGTAGACATAACTCCACTGCTAATGCCAAGCAAACATCAAGCACATCGTAATTGTAATTTATGATTCAAAGAATACATATAAAAGTGGATTTATACAAAAGTAAAGTTTTGTTAACTTCTGTTGCAATTTGTTTTGCCATTTGATTACATTTTTCAATCAGTTTTTATATTAGGAAATTTTTTAGTTGAATTGAATTTAGTTGATTGTAATAATTATTACAAAAATTTTCCTAAAATAAAAATTGATTGAAAAATGTAATCAAATGGCAAAAAAAATCACAGCAGAACTTAACAAAACTTTACTATTGTATAGATTCACTTTTATATGTAATCTTTGAATCATAAATATTGATTTTTTTTTGTTATTCAGTTTTGAGTTAAAGTTGAACTTTAAATATTTCTAAATTTGAATCATTTACTGTTTTTGTTTTTTATTTATTATATGGTAATATTGTTATTAATAAACATTTATTTTTTTACCTGTCAAATAACAAACTCGAGCATCTTAAGCATTTAGTTACGCAAAAGTTTGATATTTAAGTTAATGTTTTAACGAGTTAAATGAGTTTAAAATACAGCAATTTGTAGTTAGAGAGAGGGAATAGAGGTATAAATTAAAACAATTTTTTTGATTTGTCAAAAAAGAAAAATACGCCGATCCAGGCTGCTCCGCTATTTTTGAACCAAATTAAATATAATTTGTATTTAGAAAAAATATTAATCCATATTTTAATTTATTTCATTTTTATTTTTGTAATTAAAAAATGGTCTAGTTTTACGTTGTAAGTTCTTGATGTTTTTTTTTTGAACCACAACTCCTGCATCAATTATCAGTCCTTCTAAAAATCAAAGGATCTTTCATATATAAAAATCACACCCTAAAAACTGCATTACTTTTGAAATAGTTGGCCTACAGAGATGATTTTTATACTTTTTGAAAATTTAAAGTTATAAGTATGAGTTTATTTAAAAAACGTCGTTTTATTTTAACATTTTTTCACATCCCGACATGATTAATCAGATGTCAATTCTACTTAATTATTAAACAAAAGTAAAAGGAAAAAGATTTGAAAAAGTTTTCACGTTAGCTCAAGCATAATTTAAGTATTTTTTGAGTGTTTATTTTTCTTCTGTAATTTCGCTTTTTTATATTACAACGTTTTTTTTATATATGCGATTTATAGTTGAATTTAAGGATTCTAAATATTTTTTTGACTCATAACATAAAGTTGAACTTCATTTTAAACTACATGAGAGTCAAACAAATATTTTGATTTCAAAATTAATTATAAAAAACTGCTTTGATCCTTAGTTATTTGTAGTTTCAAGTGGGGAAAAAATGTTTTATGCATTTAAATCTATTTTATGGACGTTTTAATTACTTGAGTAGTACTTCGGTATGCAATAGTGTTGGTCAATAGGGAATGATATTTTGGATCAGCCTTAATGAATATTTGTGGCTGTTTCAATGCCGAACCAATAATAACTTCAGATATAAGAGCAATGTATAGAAAAATAAAGCATGAAAATTTAAATAAAGTAAAAAAATAAACGTAATATAATTATTTTTTTTTAAAATTATTTAAATTATATTACTTATACGACTTTTAGTTTAGTTTTAGAGTTGTCAATGATAAAATGCTTAAGTATTCTAAAATTTTATTTTAAAAATATATAGTTTCAAAGTAAAATTAAAACATGTTGTTGCCAACAGAGGCTATATTTTGCGAAAAAAAAAAATAGTTTTAGTCTAAAATTTTTGTTTGAACCAACCAAAGAGTTTCATCCAAGAATTTGAGGGTAGTTGACATTTTCAAGAATTTGTTTTCTTAAATTGAACCAAAGAGTTTTACACAAATCCGATGAAGTCATTGTTAAAAACCCTAGATTTTAATCATTTTGGCATTAAATATTCAATGAGTTGAATTGCTCTTTCTTTTAAACACATGAAAAATAATTTAACAATTTAACGCCTTTTTGCTTACTTTTGTTAAAGACATTTAAATAAACGTATTAAATGTTTGATTTTATGCTATACTTTACAATAATTATTTTTTTTAGTTAAACTCAATTATTCCACAATGTAAATATTTTCACTTACAAGTGAACTAATAGCATATTTATTTCTATGTTTTAACTGCCAAAACTATAAATAGAATTTAGTAAATAAACAAAAATGGAAATTTATTACTTTTAATTGATCATTTAAAATTAAATTTATAGTAATTTTTCTTCGCTGAAACATTATTAATTATCAATTAAAATTTATAATTCAAAATTAAAAGGTAACTGTTTTTCATGATAACAGACCTGTGTGTAACACCTTGAAGGTCAGTTTTGGTAACACCTGTTATATGGTGTTTGCAAATGCTTTAATTCTAAAATGATGATATAAATGCTTAAATATTAGAAATAAAAATCAAAAATTATTTTAATGTACTTTTTTTTACTTTTTTCAGAGACATGTGGTTTATTAACTATGCTCTCTTCTACCATTCAGAAGTAAGTATAACTGTTATTGTTTTATCTAATTTTTTTTACCTCTTTAATTTTTTATTTGTTTTTTTATCTCTTAATATTAATAATTGTTTTTAATAACTTTGTTTTTATTGACTTCAACTTGGTTAAACTTCAACTGACAATTGTCCTTCAAAAATAAATTTAATGTAAACTAAAAGTATATTGAATTTACACAAGTAGGAAACAAATGATGCAGAAAGTCACAGCTTTATAAGTAGAAACTATATGTAAGCAGAGAGTCACAACTATAGCCTAACAATTGTCCTTCAAAAATAAATTTAATGTAAACTAAAAGTATATTGAATTTACACAAGTAGGAAACGAATGATGCAGAAAGTCACAGCTTTATAAGTAGAAACTATATGTAAGCAGAGAGTCACAACTATAGCCTAACAATTGTTCATTATATAAGGTAAAAAATTGTTGTTTTTTTTATGCAGATTAGGGCAAAAAATTTTCTGCAGTCTTTGTGGTTTATGGCAAACTTAGGCATGACGGAAAACACATTTTTTGCGCGCGTAAATAAAATAATTTTTACATGGACATAAACAATAAGGAATAAGATAAAAATGCTTAAGAAAATCGATTAAAGTTTCAAATTTTTGACAAAATTTAGTGTAATTGACTTTCACTTTGATAATTAAAAACATGTAAAATGCTTCATTTTTAAGAGGGTCTTTATTTTTGAGAGATAATTTTCATTAAATAATTTCATTTTAAGAAGTGATCTTTCATAAAATAACGGTCAAATTTAACTTTCTGCAAAAAATATCCAAATTAAAATATCTCTGTTGAATTTCAAACAATGATTTCCACATTTAGTTTTATAAGAATTACGCAATCGTTATTTAAAATTATTTTTATGTGATATTTTTTCAGCCTTAAGACCCATATATTCATGTTGTACTAGCATTCGATTTCTAACTATCCACGCTGATTATTAACATCATTCCTATTGTTAAAAATTTTGAATAATGTCATCATTAAAGCAGTAAAAAGCGGTTCTTAACAATACTTTGTCTTTAAAAATGACAAACTCGAGTACACTTTATGTAAAAACCATTAAATTTAATTGAGGAAACTAACTAAATTTTATCATTTTATAAAAAAACACAAAAATATATATACATATATATACATTATATAGTGTAGACTTTTATATATAATGATTATGTACTCAAATCTAAAATTTCACAGTACATCATTACACACTAGTGCGGGATCCTCGTGTCAAGTGGTGAAGTCAAGGTGCTCTTTTGGGTAAAAAGTTTTACCTTTTCACCCTGTATTCACTTATTTCTGTGTTTCTGCCAAGTTGCTATTGTTTAGATCTAATATAACTTCTATCGTATTCTTATTATTGTCATTCAATTTTGTTTTTTTATACAAATATTCAATTTAATAGTAGTGATGCTTGTCTATCAAGATTCTGTTGAAACAGACTTAAGTTGCATTTAGCTCTTATAATTTGTTTTTTATCACACAGACACAACAGCAAAATCTATTTTCAATATACATTTTTTAAATATCAATACTGTGTTATATTGTGTAATTAAGTTTTAAAAATTAGTGAATGTGTTTTCCCACTTTTTAATTACATGGGAAAAAATTTTGGGTTAGACAGGTATTCTTTTTGTTTACATGGGTTATTTTATAAATGTATTTTTGTTCTGTATATCAAATTTAGAACTAAATCAGTGATTTTGAAAAGTAACTTTAAATTGCACTACTACAACTATATCTTTTGCTTTGCTTGCTAATCCAATGTATCTTATGCTTGCTATAATTAATTAAAAATAAAAATTACTTTTTTTTAGATTATTGGTATTTAAATAACAATGATTAAACATTTAAAGCTTTTAATGATAAAAATTTTATTTAAAAACCTCTTTAAGTTAAAAAATTAAAAATTCTTTTCATAATATATTTATTAGTAACAATTAACAACCAAATTTTTAAAGCTACTTATTGTTGGACCTTGTCTAGAAGAGAAAAAGCATGACTAGAAAACCAGCCCAAATATGACATACAGGAGCAAATAAGAAAGTGGCGGTAGAGAATAAAATTAAGAGTAAGAAAATTGCAAGCACAATAAAGAAAAGCAATCTTAGCAGATGCTAAATTTGTAATCAAGTATATATATTGTATCCATGAAACAATATATATACTTGATTGAGGTAAGAAGTGAACAATAATTTATGAAAACGTCAGCCATTGGAATTAGGGTTAGCATTCGGCTATGTCGACCTAATTGCCAACCTAGAAGTATACGAATTTGGCATTGTTGACATCAGAGGATAATTTTGGCTACAAAGAAATGAATTGATATTTTAAATAATTTTCCCAGATACACCAATGGCATGCCAAACTATCAAAAGCTTTAGATATGTCAAGAATATTAGCTCTAGCCTCATCGCTATCTGATTCACAATAAAAACTTTCATTCACAACAGTTAGCTAGCCATCTGTAGAGCAAGGGGATCAAAAACCGTATTGATTGTCTGACAGTATGTTATTTGACTCAAATTATGATGTTAGAAATTTGTTGATCAAAGACCTTGCTAATAACAGAAAGAAGGCTGATTGGATGACAGTTATAGGGATCAGAATGATTTTCAGAGTTTTTAAAAATAGAAACCATAAATGTCATTTTCCAGCTGGTAGGAAAACAAGATTCAATTAAGCACTTATTAAATAGTTTAGAGAAAATTGACGACAATTCTGGAGAACATTTTTGAAAGACAATAACAGAAATTTTGTCTGGACCAAAAGCCGTAGAAAAGTTATAACTTTAGCAATGAAAGCTAGGGTGATTTGAATGTTTACAATGGGTTAACTTGTTTTATTTGAATGTAATAGAAGAAATAAATGATTACAGTTAGATAAAACAGCTGCACATGAAGGTGAGTGCTTTACTTGAAAGCAACGAGAACAAATGAAAGTTTTCATTATTTTCGTTAGAGCTGAGCCATTCAGTGTGATGAGCATTAATGTCACCAATAACAACAACATCGGTAGAGGAGTAAAGAGAAAAAGTGTGGTCAATTTGACCAAAAGTTATATCTAATAGTGTTTAGTCTTGAGAAAAAGAACATCAATAAAGAAGAAATTGAAAGGTGATAGAGTTAGGTGGTACTAAGCGGAAGCACATAAAAGAATGGTCAATGGATTTAAACCTGGTTTCTTGACAAAAAGGTGAATTTATGCATAAAGAAACATCCAAGCCAAGCATGCGACCATTAGAGCCTTTGCAAAATAAAGGATGGTTTAAAGTAAAATTAAAAGGTGTTATGATTGTATAATCTAAAGATTTGCAAGACTAATTTAAATTCGGCTGTTCTTTCTCAGATCTCAGAATTGATGGGTAACCCATCAATACTGAGATTTAAAAAAAGAACAGCCAAACTTAAATTAGTCTCACTAAGAGCAAGTAAATCTGGCAAATTCTAAAAGAGTTAAAATTTTATTGATGGTAGGTTACTTCCCAGACCACTAATATTTGTCAAAGATTAGTTTAAACAGTTAGGTTGTGAGTATGGTTTATGTGTTTGATGTTATGGCTTACTTTGGGCATAATTTGAGTTTAAAGAGAACTAGACTCTTTTTTAATTCTTCATTCAAAACAATTAAATTGAGTTTTAGAGCTGTACCAACATTAGGAGATATCAGGAAGAGTTACATAGTGAATATCAAGGAGACACAAACAAAAATCTATGAGTAGAGTCAAGATGATCCAACATTCATTATTCTAAATAGGAATCAATGTGATACAGGTTTACATCTACAACAGGTTTATAGATGAAAAAGGGGTTAGAGGTTGGTGAACAATTATTCTGCTAATTCTCCAAAGCAAAGATATACTATTCTTATAAATATTTGCCTGAGTGGTCTTCTACAAGACTGTAGCTGGATGCAGGTAATCTCTGCCAAAAAAAAAAGGATATTTATGGAGATATTTTCTTAAGTCTTTACTCAACCAAGAGCCTCTAGGCAAGGGATTTTAAGCTGGATGCAATTAACATCTGCCCAAGTGGAGTATTTTTATTGAGACATCATCTCTAGCCATTACTCAACCGAGAGTCCCAAAGCAGAAGGTTTTTCCATCCTTTACTCAAAAATGCAAACCCTATAAGACAGCAGTGCATGAGACAGTTTGTTCTGAGTTACATAATACCAATGCCATGGTGATCATGAAAATCTTACCTAACCTTGAGTAGTTAAAAGCAGTTACTTCAAAGCATAGATGGGATTACATTGGAAACGCATTTGGAAAAACATTCCATTTAACAATAAATTTGTGATTAAGGTAGGGGTAAGCTTTATAGTTAGGGTAACATGGCCAACATTACAGGTTTTGAAGTAAGGGGGGAGGGGATATATATTTCAATAAAAAGTCCTCTATATCTAGAATTTTCTTCTAAAATACAAAAATGTTAGAGGTCATTTAAAAAAAAAAAGAGTGTAGAGGGAGGAGGAACGTGCCCCCCGGTGTCGTTGACCCTTAACTAGTTGGTTACTGAGCATTAGTGCATTATTCATCAATGTATCACTGCCTCAGTGATATACATATATATATATATATATATATATATATATATATATATATATATATATATATTATATATATATACATATATATATATATATATATATATATATATATATATATATATATATATATATATATATATATATATATATATATATATATATTTTATATATATACAAATATATATATATATATATATATATATATATATATATATATATATATATATATATATATATATATATATATTTATATATATATATATATATATATATATATAAATATATATATATATATATATATATATATATATATATATATATATATATATATATATATATATATATATATGTATATATATATATATATATATATATATATATATATATATATATATATATATATATATATATATATATATATATATATATATATATATATATATATATATATTTATATTGTTTATTTTTTATTGATGCATTTTTTCATGAACTTTTATTTTATTTTTTTTTTTTTTTTTTGTTTAAATATATTTTAAGATTTTTTTTTCTATACTTGTTTTGAAACATCATTTTTTTAACAATTACTTTTTAATTAGTGAAGAAGTATATATTCACATAAATTTAACAACAAACTGTGAATGTTTTCTCCAGAATGTATCTCTTTATCTACAACCAGATAAACTTTTGATATTTAAAAGATTTTTGTGGGATGATTCAAGCTTAAATGAGTCATTTGTGGAAATAGATGGAAAGTTCATTTTTGTTAAAGTAAGTAATAAATGAAAAATGTAAACTTAAAGTTTACTTTTTAATTTTCTTTTTGAATTTGGTAGGGTTCGAACTGTTTACAGAAAAGTAAAATCTCAATACCTCTTGATACCTAATACTAAAATATAGATACTACTTTATTAAAATATTATTTAAATTACATGGGTTTAAAGTTTTTTCTTTTTTCAATCATATTTTTTATCTGGTCTGTGTTTTAATTTTTTTATTTTATCTTAATTTTTTTGATAATATTTCAGCCTTGTTTTATAAATAAATAAAATAGTGATTTTCAAATTTAAAAATTAGAATTTAAAAAGTTTTTTGGTGGTTTGATGATAAAACTTTTTTTTATTATTGTAACCCAATATTTGTGGAGTTGCTTTTGCGTGCCATTAATAAAACGAATATCTAGTAAATATGGAACTATTGGAGCATAAACAATTAACTTAGTGAATAAATGTTTATTAAAAATCAGCCTAAATGTTTTTGGAGCACTTTTATTTTGTTAGTCATACTAGGTTGATTGAAATTTTTATAATTTTTTTTTTTATATATACAACTATCTAATACTTGTGGAAATAATTTCACTTAATACTTTCCATTAATCAAATAAATACCATTAAAAAAAATTGTTCAATTTTTCTGCAAAACGTTATCTAAAAAACATTTTGTAGGAAACTAAATACCCAAAAAATTTTGATTTTAAAATTTTGTCTGATCAACCAAAGCCAATAAAGATAAAAGTTATTTGGCGATATTCCTTTATAAGTGTTTGCTACAAATTGTAACAAGTATGTATGTTTTTTTGTGTTATTGTTTTTTAGGGCTTTGATTCCAAATATGATTGGAGCAGCTTATGTTTAAAGATAATTTATTTATGTTTTCCCTTAATATTTAAATCCAAATGCAATACTATAATCACATGGAGTTGATATACCCTATTATATTAAATATTTTTTCTATTTATAAAGATTATAAATAGCTCTCAATAAGCACAGATAAAATACAATAAACAAAGATAAAACATAAATATTCACTAATTAATAAAAAAAAAAAAACACAAAAAGAAAATCTGGCACTTAAATATCTAAATAACTAAAATATCTAGGAAATTCAGTAGATAAAAACTTGGTTTCCTCATATAAAATATATAGAATCAAAAATAAGCAAAACAATTTGCATAATGTATAGAATTAGCCCATTCGTAAGTACTCAATGTCTTAAATTAATATACTTTAGCCTAATTCATAGCTGCACTAATTATAGTAAAATTGAATGTGTTGACCCACAACCTGCAAAACTTAAAGAGATATTTAATGTGCAAATAACATGCTAGCAGAGTTATATACCGAAAAAATAGATTTGATCATACAAAGCCATTAACTAGAGAAATAAAAATGTTAAATGTATATGAGATACACTGATTTGAACACATGATTTTTATGCATAATCTTTTTAAAAATCTTACACTAAATAACTTTAAAACGAAAATTAAAGTAAATCAAAACAATAACTATTTTCTAAGATCTAATGAGAGGCTCATATATATATACTGCCTTGCAAATTAACTAAATACAAAGAGTGCAGCATAACATACCGAGTCGAAGGTATAAAACAGCGTTAAAAATAGCTATTTCAATATGGTGAAATCAGTAAATTCATAAGTTTTGTATAAAAAGACAAATTTTGAAATTAAATGAAAGCTTTGAAATTTAATATAGAAATCTTTTTGAGGAATCTTTTTGTTAAATTTAATTTCTTATATTATGTTATTTTTTGTTTAGCTTAATTTACATTATGCTTATTTTTTCATATTTTAACAGAGTTTTATAAAACTTTTTTTTACATTTTTTTTTCACTTTAAACTTATTAAAAGCTTAAATAAACCCCAAATATGAGCTCTATAAAAAGATTGTGATGACTTCATGGTTATCCATATCTTCTTGAGTCCCTGACTGTTTATATAAACTGTTTTCTGATTTTTTTTTCTTTTTTTTGAAAACGTTTCTTTATATTTTTATTTTTTTAATTGTATGAACAGCAAAACATATGTTTAAAAAAATGTATACCTAAATTATGTTTATGCTGGTTATTTGCTAACGTTGTTAGATCCTTTTTGAGTTTATATTCACTACGATAACTTTTAAAAAATGGTTTGAAAATATAAAGGTAAAATGGGATCAAAAACACACAATTACTATAACGATCTGATATAAGATCAAGCTTGTAATAATGTTAATATTGAAACTATGAGTCAGTGATTAGCTGAAGTATGATTTAGAATTAGCCGTTCCAGCATTAAGAGAGCTTATTGAAGAAGATGTCTTGCAACTACAAAGAAACATACAGAGCATCTAGCCAGAAGAAAAACAGTTGTTCTGTGATCAATTGATTTGAGGTTTTTTTATTTGACTACCCACTGATCTCAATTAAGCTTTGAATTACTGTGAAGTACTATCTGCATAGATTGATCGTAGTGTTCAATATTTTGAAGGAAATCACCTAGGTGTCAATTAGTAAAACTTTTTTTGTAAGTTATCCTCAACTCCCCAAGCAATTTTCTAGAAATTTCCTAAAGTTAAGGCTGCCATAACACAACAAATGTTTACAGAATTTTTAAATATTTTGGAAAACGAAACAGAAGTTGAATTGGCAGTTATTGATTAAAGTTTTGACAAGACTAACTTAGCAGACGACCCTGTGGAAAAAATGTATTCTGAAAATAAAAGTAAAATACCCAGAATGAACTATCAATAGTTAAATATTCAGAATATCAATGCCTCGTTACTATTCTACCACAAAGGTCGTTTACATTTGCAGAACTGAAAAATTAGTGTATTAGTACGAAGCGCTAGGTGTTCTTAAACAAAAGTATACCATATATTAATATAGTTAAACATTATTTGCAGTATTAATACATTTAGTTTATTTTTCTTTCTGTGAAGTTTTTGTGACATTTATTATAAACTGCTAAACTATCATTGAACACTATGGCTTTAAGTAGTCCCACAACTACTTGAATCCAATCTTAACCCTATAAAGAAGAAAAAACTTGTCCCAAAATTTTTTTTACCCCTACAATCATGATTAATAATACCTAAGTATATTACTTATCAATAAGTTTTTTAAAATTGACGTAGATATAAGAGAAAACTACAAACATTCAATAAGTTGTTCCCAATGACGGTGTTTCATATACTTTTTCATATTTTCTATACACTGTTAAAAAAATAGCGCTTTTTTTTACGGAAAAGTTCCGGCAGCTGCCGATGACCAAACTACCTATTTTTTTACGGAAAAACCCATCGTATGTAAACGGAAGTTTCCGTGAACAAATGGATTTTTTTCAGCTAAAATACAATGGGTTTTTTCCGTTAAACAACGGGTAGTTTGGTCATCGGCAGCTGCCGGAACTTTTCCGTAAAAAAACGGATACTTCCGTTTAAATAAAACAAGTTTTCACCGTTAAACAACGGAAAGGCAACTCAGCTGCCGGATAGTTTTCGTAAATAAAAGTAAAATTTAAATAAAGTATTTCTAGGAAATTTTATATATATAAAATCAATGGTATGCTTTTAAAAATATTTTCTGAAAACAAAATTTCTTTGATCTACATAAAAAACATTAAAATTTCCGTGATTTACATTTTAATTCAACAGCAAATACATAAATAAATAAAAAATTAGTAAAGTAATAAACACTTTCAAAAAATTATTAACAACTTTGATAAAGTATATACAAGCACATAATAATACAAATATATTACATATTCCTATATACATTTACAATATAGATATATATAAAAACTTATCTTTAAGTAATATATATTGGTTAAATAACAAATATAAATATAAGTAAATCAAAATTAATCCAAATACAAAAAAATACAGCCTTTCTTTCCTTTTCCATTTTGAGTCAGTTTTAATTCTAAAATAAAAACAAAAATTAAAGTTTTTGAGATAGAAAAAATTTTAATATTTAACAAAGTAATAAATTATAAAAAACACTCATTATGTGCAATCCTTACCTTAAAGTTGTTATTCATTATGAGTGATTTAACTAGACATTTATATTAATATATTAATTTACATTAATATATATATATATATATATATATATATATATATATATATATATACTATATATATATATATATATATATATATATATATATATATATATACAGTCATGTGACATTGAAATGGAAACATGTGTAAAAAGCAAAATTTTTTTAACTCCAATTTGTTTTTTTTCTTAAATCCTAAATTTGATGACCTTTGTTATCATAGATAAGTTTAAAAAGTTTAGACCTGGACATCAATGCCTAATTTATAAGTTCTTGAAAGATGTTCCTTCATATATCTTTTATATTGTTAAATAAACTCTGTAACCCATACCATAATGGATTTTGGAAAACTTTTATTTTTATAATAGGGTACTCTTAGTGCTTTTTGATATCTTTTAATGTAAATATGTTTAGATTTTTGATCACAATCAGTGAGGTAGAATAGTTTTTCGTCAGTTGTAGTGATTTTTGTCCAGTTTTTCTTATTCGTTTGAAAAGTTTTTATTATCCGTAAATTTTTTTTGATCTTGAAACCTTCTCTCAATTTCTCAAGGTGATAATGCATGTACACTTCCTTTTAAATATATATATATATATATTTATAATATATATATATATATATATATATATATATATATATATATATATATATATATATATATATATATATATATATATATATATATATATATATATATATATATATATATATATATATATATATATATATATATATATATTTATATATATATATATATATATACATATATATATATATATATATATATATATATATATATATATATATATATATATATATATATATATATATATTAATTTAACGGATCGCATGTCTCTGACGGCGATAGTGACATTGTAACTTGCTTTGATTTGTGCTACCCCAGGCAAAAACTCGATAACTTATATAACTATG